GCAATAAAGTAATACTAATTAGACAATTAAATTTTGCTAATTTATAATTCTAAAAATAAAAGATATAAATATAATATTAAAGGTCTTATAATTAAAAATGGATTTATTTATTTTAGGATTAGGAAAGGATCATACAAGAAGATTCTGAAGTATCTCGGATTATCAACCAAAATTGATTTGTAAATCTGACAAAAAGAGTTGAAACTATTGCATTATAGCTTTTAAATTAATATACTATCCTTGTAAGGCAATCTCAAAATTTACAGAAATAAGTTTTTCAAGATAAAAAATAAATTCAATTTAAAATAATTATTAAGAGTTTTGATGCTCTAAATGATAGATTATAAAATCTCTGAAATAATTTATATCTAAAATGGAGATTTATTATTTCAATAATAGTATTTCGTAATTATTTGTTTAATTTATATGCAAAAAGTCCTTTATCATAAACTTTGCACTGTTGTATTGCATAATCATTATTTCAAATAATTGACAATGAAAAAATGTTGAAATTATTAGTTAATGAGCAATAAAATGATTTTGAAGTAAAATTGTTATAACATTAAATTATATTATTTATTATTATTAATCTTAATAAAAAGTTTTGGAAATAGTTTTATATTAGGTAAAAATATCTATTTAAAGGTAAATATCATTTTATGAATATTTTGTTAACCTTATTTAATTGAAAATTTCTAAATGTAAAAATTTTGTTAAAACATTTAGAGGTTTTTTTTTTTGATTCAAGAAAAAATTTGATTTTTGATGAAAATAAATTTTGTATGGATGATTCGAAATTCATATAAAAGTTTTAAGCCATTAAGAGATGTAAAAAAACTTATTTAAATTATTTTTACAAATCCTAGATTGTCATTATATAAAAATTATATTTATGATAATATTCATTTATCTTCATTGTTTGTATTCAACAAAGTCATTTGAAATATAAACTTTAGATCCTTTATATTAAGTAGCACATTAATAAGTGATGATTGGTGATAAAGATTTTGCACCAACTAAATATTTTAGTTATGGTATTTGGTCGAAATATAATCCACTAAGCCCGATACCTTAGACTGGTCCTGTTGGATTGTTTGATAGTAATTGTTATCAACTTCATCACATTCTTGATTAGAGAAGCAATGAAATAAATTTAATATATTACGATTGTTTAGATTATGAGGCAAACTTAATAACAAAATCAATAAAGTTTGTTAATAATGAAAATCAATAGAAAACATATGAAATAGAAATTGAACCGTTTGAATATGAAGATTTTTGGTTCTTTTTAGAAATTATTTAATGGCCTTTTTAAAAAAGATTTGAAATTTTGATAATATCATAATAGAAAACAATAATTCATAAGATTGATGAAATAAATTTTCCATTCAAGGGAATAGATCTTTAGTTTACTTTTGGAAGTAGTTTGATTGTAAGTAATCCCATAATCGAATCAATATAAAAAGATTAAAAATTTTCATACTTTCCTGGAACTATTATCATATAAAGGTTTAAGATAGAAGATGAACTTCTAGTATTTGATTGGTTTGAATATGTGAAAAGTATTTTTGAATAATATGAATTTTGTATTTGTTAGGGAAATACAATCTAAAAACTTCAAGATTAGAATATAAAATATTTGTTTAAAGGAGAATTTGTTTCAGATAATTAAAATTGTGATTCTTTTATTTTATCAGGTTGGTTTAAAATATAAGAAATAATAAATGAACAAGATTCATTTACATATCCATTTATAAAATTAGCAGCCAATTTTGAGGATCCTAATTTATCTAGTGATAATCTATCCCCTCTTAATATAAAATACAAAATATCAGATATTTAAAATTAGGTTATTGTAACCACATACAGTTACACATTTCCAACAGTATCAATAGATTTTTCTAATAATCCATTTTTAATAGAGAAACAATTTGATATTGTTCATAATATGAAATTATGGCATAAAATATAAGTAAAATTAGTTCAAAATATTATGGACATTTAAATAACATTTTATGATGAGTTTACTGTTCATGAATATAGTCATTAAGTAGAAGTTCGTCAATTTTAATAGTAATAATTTAAATTATTATATGGAAATATCTAATAACTTAAAAAAAATTACTTACAGTTATAAATTCGAAACTTCTTTTTATTAAATTGTGATGAAACTTTTTCTGATTAAAATTGTCATTACAGTTGTTAAGAATGTGATGGTCCTACAAATGAAAATTGTCTGTCATGCTCAGAAGAATCAAAAAGAATTTATTTACCTGAACATAAAGTATGCGTTTGTCCTGAAAATACTATTGATGATTAAATATGTATTGGTTATAAAGAGGCAAATTTAGAAATTATGGATGAACCTTTCATTGATAATGAATGCTAATATGGTTATTTTGAATTAAATAATGAATGTTACAAATGGTAATTAATATATTATATATATAGTCCATCAATTATAAGGAAAGATTTAATTATTTGTTTAGATTGTGTATAAAACCCTAAATATTTTAGTAAAAAATTATATTGCTTAGAAGATTTATATCTAAGTTAAACAAGTAATACGGAAAAAATACAATATAGCCAATTGGATTAATTTCTTTTTGATGGAGATGATTTTCATATATATCATGGGAATGAACAATAAATATAGATTGATGATGAAGAATAATTGTACATTAATTTTTAATAAGAATCAGTGACTTTCGACTATTTCTGCTAAAATATTAATATATATTATAGATGTGAAGAATTTATATATATAAATTGCGAAGTATACTATTTTTCAATTGTTGGAGTAATATGTATATAATGTGATCGTTTTTAAATACTGAAGAATGGTTAATGTATTTATCCAGATGATAAAAAATATTGTCATACACCTTATTATATAACACATACTAATGAGTGTAAGTTATGCTTAAAACAAAATTGCATTTATTGTTTTGAATACTAAAATGATGAATCTTCTTTTAAAAGTACCTTATATAAAAATTTCGGAAATTTTAATGAAGATTAAATAATATTAGTTGGCTGCGCAATGTGTTAAGATGGATATATTTTTGACTTTACTATTGGAGAATGCTAAAGATAATAATCGAAAATAGAAACATGTTTAAGATCATTTATAAATTAAAAAGGTATTGAAATGTGTACTTTATCCTCCTAAACAGATTTTAGTGTTGCACCTGAAATTATAAATTGTGAGAAATATTATTCTAATTGTTAGTAATGTGTGCTTACTCCTAAATCAAAGCTATAATGTGTATTATGTAAATAAGGATATGTTAGTTCAGTGATAACAGGAAATTGTTAAGATATTTCTTAACCTGAATTATAATAAAATAGTATTTACGTAACTTAAGGAGACTATTTGGAAGATGATGGATATATTCAAACGCTTTAAAGTTTTTTAATGTTATTTTTACCTGATAAATATTATTATTCATATTCTCCATAATAATTAGTAGAGTTTTCAATTAAATGTTAATATGGATATGAATTAACAAAAGATTTATAGTGTAAAGAATATTGCGAAAGCGATTGCTTAAATTGTTAAAAGGATAAAAATAATTTTATATGCATGACATGCTATTTAAATTACTATAGAAAACATATAAAAAGTGAAATAAACGGAAAATGTATTACTTGTTCTAATTTATGCCAATTTTGTGAATAAAGAAATTAGATTGTAATTTAATTAAATAAATTTTAGGATTATTTATATGAGTTATCATCAAGTATTTAAGAGAAAGAGTCAGATAATTAATTTTCTATGAAATGTTTAAAACCAGTTGATCATCCTAATATAATCATGAATCCCTATCTCTAAATTGCTAAATACTGTTTAAAAGAGAATTGCTAAAATTAATTTTCAATTTCAAGGTATTTTACTTAATGTTAATACAATTCTCATCGTTAAAGTATCTATGAAGAAGATATAAATTATAAATATTGTAATCTAGTTGGGGTAGATTAAATGACAATTAATTATATTATTTAATATGAAGAATTGGATATTGAATGTGATTTCTCAAATGAAGAACCATTTTTGAACAATTTTAAGAAAAAAATCTTTACTCTAAAGAAAACAAAATCAATTTTTTATGCTTTAAATAATAATCTTATAGTTACATCTAGAAAAATAAATATTATAAATTTTGATTCAGTGGAAGTCAAAAACATAACATTAATATTATTTAATGGGTTTAATATACAAAACAATAACAATAAAGTGGATATAACATTTAAAAATATCATTATAAATAGATCTAACATTACTGAAATTACAATTCTTCCTACTTCAGTTTATGGAAGTATTCTTATTTAGGATGTTTACATTATAGATTCTATCTTTGTTAATTCAAAATTTTTTGAGGTTAATAAACAATTCTTTTAAGTTAAGATTCAAAAATTAACATTCAAAAATAGTCTCTTAAATAACTCATTATTATTCAACATTGGCTATAACTAAAAAATGATAACTATTGAAAATATCATTATCGAAAATTGTTCAATGTATAATTCTTCATTTTTCTATTTTGAAACAGATTTGATCAATTAAAACTAAATCAAATTATTTGATATTGAAATTTATTAATGTAATTTTACTTTTTCTTATTTTATCAACACCAATACTTAGTTTGAAATAATCGGAAATAATTTATTCTTCCATAACAATAATCTTTAAAATTCAGTAATTATTGGTTTTAATGATAATTTAGAATTAATTACAATTAGAACAAGTCAGAATAATCTAATAGAATCTTCAATTATATCATCATTATTGATAATAAATTAATAAAGAGTTGTGTGTAAAATTGATGATTTTGAAGATAATTAAAGTTTTTTTTAAGAATCAAGTTTGATAAGTATTTATTCTAGTCTTTAAATCAATAATTTTATTGTTACAATTAAAAATGTTAAAGTTTATGAAAATCAAATACTTAATACTTTTTTATTAGAAAACTCATTAATAAAATTACATTGTCATTATTTTCAAGTCTAAAATGCCCAATTTTTTTAGTTGTAAAATATTATTGTATTTTATCTTTTCGAAATTAATTAGATTATTTTTGATTCTGTAATATTTGAGAATTCATAATAAGAACATAAAGTTCCTGTTTCATCATTTTGTAATGAATAAGTCTAATTTAAAAGTTAACTATTAAAAGTTATAGGCTTTCAATAATTATCATTGTCTAACATTAAAATTGTAAATCAATTTAGTATCAATTATTCAATAATTGATATAAATTTTAGTGTCTAGTATATTATTGATTTAATTGGATAAATAATACTAACAAACGTATAATTTTAAGGGAATATTTTGTTAAAGGACAAATAAGCCACTTTAGTATCTTTAGTAAATATATAATCTCAATTTAATTTAAATATTAAATTAATTAATATTTAGTTTACATAAAATATACTAAATTAATAAATTGACGATCCATTTGATACATAAACTAATTTATTACATATAAGTTCATTAGACAGTTTTGTTTACATAAATCATATATATTGCTACTAAAATGCATTAACTAATTCAACTAATCAATTTATTACTATTACTGCTACTTTGATTGAAGTTTATGACTTCATATTTATGAAATAAAATATGTTACCATAAACATTATGGTAGTAATTTTATGATTTTGAATTAGATGATGAATATAATCAACAACAAATAACATCAATAATTCAATCAACTTTTAAATTATTAAATTAAGGAATTTATATTGTAGCTTCTACTTTTATTTGTAGTGATAGTATATTTTAAGATATTATTGCTTTGAAAAGTTCTATATTTTAAATTAACACTTAACGAGAAGGAATTATCAAAATAAACAATATTTAAATAAATAATGTTCAAATTAATCTAAAAGAAAGTGGTAGTACAGGTTGTATAAGCATAGATTCAACTAACAGTCTTTTAAATATTGAGTTAAAACAAATAAAATTTACAAACATTTTTAATAGAATGGCTGCATCATTATTTACTATAACACCATCTTTAAAACAAAATATTATTCGTTTAAATAATATTGAAATTAAAAATTGTCTTTCTTTAATTAATTCAATAATTTTTATTAAATTTTTGGCATAAACTATGTCACAGAGCTTAGTAAGTATTAATAATTTATCAATTTATTAAAGTGAAGAAGTATGGATTTAATTATATTCCTTGATTGGTTAAATAAAATTATCAGAATTAGATAATATATTGAGTTAAGATAATGCTATGATTTTTCTAGAAAATTGCAAAACAGAAATTAAAAATCTCAATTTTGAAGGAATAATAATTTATCCAATATTAAAATTTTAGAATGCTTTTAAATTAAAGCTTTTAGATTGTAATCTAGTATCAGTATAAAGAATATATTCATTTGATCTTATACACATATCTTAAACCTTATAAACTCAATCAACAATTTCTATTGAAAACCTAAAGATAATATAGACTGATAATTAATATCAAAAAAATGTTGGTATTCCTATTTAATTGGATTTAAATTATAAAATTGTAGGATGTAATGTTTGGAGACCTACATAAATAATATCAGAAATTATTTTCTCAGATATTATAAGTTAAATGTAATCATATAATTAGCAATCAAATCAGATAATGTATGTGAAGAGTATTTCTCAATAAAATTTGCTTATGTTTTAATAGATAAAATTAATGAATAATAATGGATCAGACTTTTTAAATGGAATAATGACATTTGAATTATAAAAGTTCAAAATATTGAAGTTAAGTGATATTTTTTGCTATATGAATAGTATGAGAGAGAATGGTTGTATTCATTTTTTGATTTAAAATTTTATTAATTAAACTGTTGGAATAAAAGATTCTTATTTCATAAAGAATAATGGAAGCAAAGGTGGGGCTATTTAAATTTAAAATGTTAAATTAAGGATGAGGAATTGTAAAATAATGTATAATTAAGTAAGCTAATCTGGTGGAGGATTATTTTTATAATAAAATGGTTCTGATTTTTTAATTAAGTCAACAATAATTATTGATAATGAAGCATTAAATGGAGGAGGTATTTATTTTAGTTAAGATACAACTTTACATCAACATAATTTTATAAAATCCTTGTTACTATTCAATAAAGCAATAGAATTTGGAAATAATCTAATTGAATCCCCTCATCATTTAGAATTACTATTGAACAACATGGAAATGTAATCTAAAAAGTAAATCATTAAATAAATTTTAAATTGTTAGTTAATTCTTAAACCCTATAAAATAATTGAATAAGGAATGTCTTTTTTTACTGATTATTTAATGATACCAAGTAATTAAATTATTTAAGGATATTAAATATATGAGCCTAAAAGCACTCAATATTATTCTTATATTACAAATTTTGGTCTTATTCTAAAGAATGGTTTAAATGAATAACTTCCGAATTCTTATAATACTAATTGCATTTTTATTAGTAAAATTATTAATGAGGAAAGCTTAGATTAAGAAGGAAAGTAGACAGATCAAAAAATTTTGCAATTTGATTATGAAAAGGATTACTATGAATTAGGTTCTCATTCATTCACTCTTGATCCTTATGATTCAGAAAAAAAACTATTATAAATTGAAATTAGTTGTTAATCATCTGAGAAATTGAAGATTTTAAATTATATAATAAAAACAAAAAGCTTGAGATGTTAACTTGGAGAATTTTATATAAATTCTGGATGTTAACCTTGCTCCTCAAGTTAAGGGTTTTACTCTGTAGAATATGATGCAAAAAAATGTTCAATATTTGATTAAACAAAATTTAAAAATATCACTGAAAATAATATAGAACTACAGGAAGGATTTTGGAGACCTAATTATTTATCAGATAAAATAGAAGAATGTTTTAAAAATTTAAAGTTTTGTAAAGGTGGCTGGGGATAGGGAAATTAAATATGTGATTTAGGACATATAGGAGCATTATGTGAAGAATGTGATATTTATAATATAAGAGGAGATGGAAAATATTTTAAAAATCAATAGGATTCATAATGTATATCTTGTTATGGTGTATAGGATAGTATAATTCCATTTATAGCAGCATCACTTTGGTAATTTAATTTAATATTTAGGTCTTTTATATCTATAATTATAACATTAAGAAGTATTGAATAGTCAAATTAATTATTTAAATGTTTAAAATTATAATAAAGGTTTAGTAAAATTATATTTAACTTAGAATAAGGTATATAAAATATTTATTTATAGGGCATGAAAGTTTTTTAATAAAAATGTTATTAAATTATTTATGGATTTTTTCTGCTATTTTTACATTTAATATCCAATTTTCTTTTTCAATTGGTTTTGTTGATTCTGCAAGTAATACTTCTTACTCAATGACTAATAATTTAGACTGTTATTTATCAGAAAATCAAACAATAAAATTGATTTATTCTAAAATATTAACAATGCTTGTACTAATGATATTATAATTTATATTTATAATAATCGGATTTCTTTGTTATAATTGCTATTAAAAGATTGGATTGAGGAATTTTAATTTGGAAATAATTTCAAATACATTATTATACCTTTATATATCTAATTATGGTGGATTAGTTAAAATGTAATTCTATTTAAATTATTTAGGTATTTTTCCATTCTATCAAAAAGAGATGTTTCAAATTAGAGTTATATCTAAGGTGATGTTTCTCTCCTTTTTGGATCTAGAGAGCATTTAATTTGGATATACTCTTTTGTTATACCTGGAATAGGAATATTTAGTTTGCTAATTCCATTTTCACTTTTTATTGTCATGTATATTAGAAAAGATTAACATGATAATATTAAAATAAGAAAACATTTTTGTTATTTAATTAATGAATATAATGTAAGTAGCTATTTTTGGGAAGACATAAAGTTAATTAAGAAAACAATTATAATTCTAATTTTAACATATTTTGAAACTTATATTTTACTAAAAGCATCATTATTAGGATTAAGTTTACTTTTTTATCAGTTAATAGCTTTTAACAAAAAACCTTATATTCTTTCTAATTTCAATAGCATGGATTTATTTTCAGCACAAATTTGTTCGATATCAATTTTCCTTGCTGCAACTAAATATGTAGCAGAACAAGAAAATAACTAGTTTTCATCTATATCACTTTAGACCATAATTGTTCTTCTTTGTATTAAACTTTGTTACTCATTTATCAAAAGTATATTAGAAGTTTACTTTAACAAGTACTTTATATTAGTTTTAAATTATTTATACATAATTTTTAATAAGATTTCATCAAATTCAATCTTTACAAAAAAGTTATAAAATTATTTGCAAAAGTCAAACTAAAGAAATAATAGATTAAAAATATTGATCAAAAAACTTAGATAACACCTGTTAACGGTTTCTAAAGCCTAGCTTGAAAATCACAGAAAAATTTTAAGCACTTAGATAAAAAAAACATAATCCTGGGGGTCTGAATAAAAATACCTTTTAAAGATAGATACTGAATGATTTTTATTGTTTTCGATATTAATCAATTTTATTTTATTTTAGAATTAATATCTAAATTATTAAAAATATTTTATTTTAAGCATTTGAATAGTGAAATATTGATATATAAAATAGGGATTTAGATAAAAAATAAATCTAATCTGTATAAACATAAAAAAATTAGCTGTTTGAGTAATAAATTTCGGAAAGATTAGAAAATTTAATTAAGTATATTAGAATTTAATAAAAATAATATTAGTAATAAATTCATATAATTAGGTATGACTATCCAAAATATTTTCTTTATATTTTAGGTTTTAATATAGTATTTAGAGAGATATTAAAAGACAGTAAACAATTTTAGTATGAAAATGTAATAAATTAAATTAGAAACAAGATAATTAAATCTCAGTAATAACTGTTTCTTGAACTTGAAATTATGTTGATATAAAACTATATGGGATTCTATAAGAGATAAATAATTGAGGTTTAAAATATAAAAGCTAGATTATATTTAAAATTACTTAAGTGTTGATCGAGTCTCTCAGTTTCTTATTTAATGAATTATATTGACATCATTAGAGAAATTGATGATAAGAAAAAGTTGATTATTATTATTGCAGGGAAAGCTTTATATGGATCTCAAAAATGAGATATGAAAAGATTATAGATTTTATTTAATATATGTAATGATGTCTAAATTTCATTTAAGAATTTAGATATATATATCATTTTTGATTATTAAATTACATAAATCTCTACTTCAACTTTTTTTATAAATCGATGATCGCTTTCTGAAAATCTCATTCAAAATAATTAATACATTACTATTGGTAAGTTCTATTATACAAATTTAGAGTGAAATTACTAAAGTATCTGTATAGGTTCAATATAATGAGGAAATATTGTTATAATTATTATAAATAATTTTATAGACATAAAAAATTTAAAGCTTTTAAAATTCATAAATGATGCTTTGAAGCTCAATTCTATGAATATTAAGGTTTTGCTATTGAGAGGTATTCATAAATTTTAAGAATTTGATGGGATATATAATAAAAAAAAGAGTGTCTAGCAGTTGAAGATTTAAATAAAGCTGTTTAATTATGGTTAATAAATGAAAAAACTTATTATCAGATGGCTAAAGTGTAGTAATAATTGTTGCCACATTTTTTTATCGTAACAGAGGTATAATTTTATTTTAAAATGAAGAGGAAATTTATGTAAAGACTTTGAAATAAAGATTAGGCATTCTTTGATTATAAGAAGGATATTCAATATGATTCAAATAATGCAAATCCATACATGAACAAAATAACAGTAGAAATGAGAAGTAAGCACTATTAGATTTTTACAAGATTATTGATTCAAACCTAAATAATGCTTGAATTTATTATAATAGAGATTTATAAAAGTACAAAATTACTGAAGACTGCTTTATTCTAAAATTGGAAATAAAGATTATTATGATTTTTTAGGCGTATCAAAAAAATATAAATGAAAAATATCAAGTTTCATTGCTTCAATCAGGAAGGATGAATCAGTTAGATGTAAAAATAAAATTTTATTAATGTCAGAAGTTTATATTGTAAATGATTTATTCAAGAACATTTTACTATTTGAATAAATAAAATACTCTTTTATATTCATTTATAAGTATATTGGAAAATATAATATTTATTTAAATATCCAAAATGATTTTCAGAAATCAATATGAAATGTTATATGGCATGTTTGAAAAATTTCAATGAAATATTAGATTTTAAGGATGAAAAACTGAAACAGAGAATGAAAGAAGTAATCAAGGTTTACAAGAAGAATAACTTTTAAAATTAGATATGCAAAAATTTATATTCAAATCACGATTATCCAAAATAAATAATTCTTTTATCTATAACCCTTATTAAATTTTTAAAGAAAACGATTCAAAAGGAAGCTTGATTTAAATAGTAATATTGATTAGGTAAAGCATAACAGAGGAGATGGCACAAAAATAGGATAATAGATTATTAATAGTGATAAATTTTCATGGAATTCTCAAATAACATCATATATGTAAAATTTTAATGGGGATAGTATGATGGAGGCATTAAGATTGAATTTGGATTGATTTGGTTGATAAGCTTAGCATTTGGAAACAATAAATTTTTATTTTTTTAAATCTTGATTGCAACAATGTTTTTTAAAGATGGAAAGTAGTAAATTAAAGCATTATTATTTTTGATAATTTCTTCACTCTCTTATACTTGAGAAATTCAATTCAAACTCATAAATTTTCATAGAGAATTTAGAATGATACCCTCTAAAGACTTACATTAATTGATATTTTTATCACAATTTTTTTACTATTTTTGTTTAAAATATATATCTATTATCAATAGTACTGAACATTTTTTGTATGTTCTAATAGGTTTAATTATCATTTTCTAGTTTATAATTTTTTTTTCTTTAATAAAAAATTCTTCTACCTTAACATATTGTAAATTTAAATAAAATAGTTATCCAAATTGCTAAATCATGTGGTTCTTATTTATTCTTAAGAATATGATTAAAGAGATTGTCTTAATTTCAATAATATTAAGGTTCTTTGTAAGTTCTTATAAATTGATTGATTTATTTTTTAATTAATCATTATAATTTGTGAATAGAGAGATTCAACAATATTTTTGAAGGAAATTTCAGAAATAAACATTTTAAAAGAAGAAATATCAATTACTTATTTTTTTTCTTATATTAAATATTAAAGGGAACTTTTTATTAAATTATAAAAATTATTGATCCATTTTTTGTTAAATGATTATTTGATTTATAGTTTGCTTAATTAATTATAATATAAACAAATTATATCATTTATTTCTAAATTAAAAAAATATACATATATTTCTTTTGTTATTAAACACACATACATCAATACTTCGGCTTATAAATCGAAAATTTGACATTATTTAATAACCATTAAAGATATTAATCAAAATATATATATATACTTAAATTCCAATTCTAATAAATTTTTAATGAATAAACTAAGTTTTTAAATTTATCATGAATAGTTAAAAAAATTGGTTAATAAATTAGAGGAGACTTGTATATTTAATTATAATTTAATTGTGATTAGAATTCTTATTTGATAGATATAAATCTACTAACCACAAAATAATATTTGAAAATAAAATTTAATAAATGTTTTTCATTATATAGATGATGATATCAGTTTGTCTAGCTCTAAATGATTGGGTATAGGTTGACTAAAGTTATGGGTAAAGTTTCTCTAATAGTAACAACTGGCATATTTCAAAATATTGCGACACTTTTAACATTGATGCCCAATAATCATATTATACCTGTACAGAAAATCATATTAAATATGTACAACTTAAAAAAGACAATTAAAGAATAGATAAAATATTTCCGAAAAAAAGTTACTAATAATAAGTAATATTTGATATTTTTTTTGATGATGCAGATAGTTCTATTAGTGAAAAAGCTAATTTTACATTAAACTTAACTATTAGTTAATCTTAAAGATATATTATGGAATAAAGAAGTTATATTAAAACTGATTTGACCCAATAATCAAGAAGGATATGTAACACTACAGGAACCAACTACTTTGAATTTTAAACTATTGTAGGTACTTCATAAGTTTAATATTATGAAAATTTTAATATATCAATAGGTATCGATACTTTTAATGACCTTCAAGTTATAGGTGTAAGAAATTTGTTTGTATATGTGAAATATTGTTTACCAACTTGCAATACTTGTTCAACTTCAACAAGTTGTCTATCATGTTATTATGGTAGTCCATAAGTAGATGGAACTTGTAATTGTGATCCATCTCATTAATTTGCTTAAACTGGAGTTGGATGTAGATAAGAATGTGATAGAAATTACTACATGGCAAGATCAGATAATGTTTGTATTCCAGAATAAAGAATTATAAGTTATAGTTAATACTTTTATTCTTAAACTTTTAGTGATTATAGTCCTTTTGAATTCATTGGAGATATTTTATACCCAAGAACCCCTTCATCATTGATTATAGATTGTTGCTCAACTACTTATGTTGGAGGTTTAGTTCATAATGAGGGAATGAGTTTTGATACTGAATATGTTCAACACTTAAAATTTATCAGATTAAGAGTAACATTTTTTATAAAGAACTTTTTGACTGATAGTAAAATTTAAATAAAATTTCATAACTAAATATAAGGTGAAATAATAAAAACTGATACTAATTATTATTATTATGGAGTTAAATTAATTTATAATTCAAGTACAGATTGTTCTACATATGATTTAATAAGAATAGAAGCTATCCTTAGAATGTATTCACCTTTTCCAAAACTTACTTTTCAAGGAGTAAACCCAGCTCCAGCATCATAAGAATGGGGATTCAGAAATTTAACTATTGATTATGGATATTGTTAAATGAATTGTTTAGTATGTGATGGGTTTTCAACTTGTGCTTAGTGTGATGGCGTATATAAATTATTTTAAAAAAGATGTGTTGATATTTGTCCAATACATTCTATTAATTGTATTGATTATGCCGATATTATACCAAGTATTTTCATTAAATTTATTAGATTCTCGTTATTTAGCAAAAGGATTTTATAATTTAAATATGACTACTACAGAAATAAGCCAATTTTATGATACAACAATTGAAACAGGTAGTAATTTCTTAACAGGTCAGAAATTTTCAATATTTCCATATAAATTTGTGTTGGGAGGTGTAATGGTATGGAATAATGCAATATATAAAAAATAATGGATTATATCAAAACCTCATTACGCTGTAACAATAAGATTTAATGTTACTTATGGAGATTTATATACTGGAAATTTTTATTATACTATTGAAGGAGTTAAATCAACAGCTTACCCAAAACCAACATCAGGAGGTTACAATATAATTGGTAAAATTTCAGAAGAAAGGACATTATATTTTGAAATATTTTAGAATCCTTTCAAATAATCAACATTAGATATAGAGTTATAATGTACAGATACAACTTCAGATCCAAGAGATGAATTTTGTGCAATATCTGAATACTTTATTGTAGTACATTATGTAAAAAATTAATATAAAATTATAGTGTTAACCATTTTGTTAAGATTGTAATGATGGAAACTCGTGTGTTACTTGGGAATCTGGACACACAAGTTCAGCTTGTTTAACAAACTAATTTTTATAATTTAACCCTGTATCAGAATCTTATAGTTGTATCACATGTAACTAACCAGGATGTTTAGCATGCAAAAATATGGATGAATGCACTTAATGTGATACATCAAGTTATTATAATTATTTAGAAAATGGATGGTGTATATCAATTAATCCATCTGTACCTCGACCTCCAATTCAAACTACTCCTCCTATTATTATTATATGTAATAAATATTGTGAAACATGCACAGGATCTTTATAAACTAATTGTTAATCTTGCGTAATTGAATTTCATAGATATTTATATAACAATGAATGTATATGTTAACCTGGTTTCTATGATGATGGAATTAATATCCTATGTTTACCTGTATGTGGTGATTTAATAATAGTTGAAGGAGAAGATTGTGATGATGGTAATCATAATCCTTATGATGGATGTAATAATTGTAAATTTGATTGTGATGAAATTTGTAATGATTGCTTTTAAGGATTTTGTTTTAATTGCAAAAAAGGTTTTCAATTAGTAGATAATAATAAATGTATTTCCATTTGTGGTGATAATTTATTAGTAAAAACAGAAGAATGTGAAGATAATAATTAGATTCCTAATGATGGATGTTATAATTGTAAATTTTAATGTCCAAATAATTATATTGATTGTTAATTTAATTAATGTATTAAATGTGATGAATAAAATGGATGGTATCTTAAGAATAACACTTGTTAAACTATTTGTGGAAATACTTTAAATATCTATTTGAATACAAATAATATTGGTTATGATTTATTAGATCAATATTGCTTTTAATATCTCTACATATGTCAAGATACTTGTTCTACTTGCTATAATGGGAAATGTTATTAATGTAATGAAGGATGGATTCTAAATATTATTGATAGAATTTGTTATCCAATTAATGGAGATACATTGATAGTAGGTAATGAATAATGTGATGATGGAAACTAAATAGTAAATGATGGATGTTTTTAATCTTAATTTTAATGTTAACTTTAATGTGAACTATGTTTATATGGATAATGTTAGAAGTGTAAATCTGGATTTATTATTATTAATAACATTTGTTAAGAAAATAATTTAGATAATTAAGTAGTGGGTTAAGAATAATGTAATGATTAAAATTTAATTGGATTAGATGGGTGTTTCTAAAATAGATTTGATTGTCCTTAATTTTGTTTAATTTGTGTTATGGGATAATGTTTAGAATGCAATATTACTTCAGGATATGGATATATTGATAAATTAAATAATAAATGCTTGTCTATTTGTGGAGATGGTATAAAATCAATGGAAGAGGATTGTGATGATAGAAATGAGATTCCTAATGATGGATGTTTTTAGTGTCATTACTATTGTGATTAAAATTGTTTTGATTGTAGAATGGGTATTTGTTACTCATGCTATTTTGGATATTATTTAAATTAAGAACATAATTCTTGCTATAGCATTTGTGGTGATGGAATTATAGCTTCAAATGAGTAATGTGATGATTTATAAATTATAGCTGATCAGGAATGTTTAAATTGTTAATTAAAGTGTTAAAAAGAATGTGTAAGTTGTTATGAAGGTAAATGTTACGCTTGCGAAGGAATAGGATGGGAGATTGATTTAGTATCAACAGTTTGTAGATCAAATTGTGGAGATGGAATAATAGTTGGAAAAGAGTAATGTGAGGATGGAAATGAAATAGATTAAGATGGTTGTTATTAATGCGAATTTTAATGTTAATAATAATGTACTAAATGTTTATTAGGAGATTGCTTAGAATGTAATTCTAAAGGTTGGTATTTATATGAGAATTATTGTATATCTGAATGTGGAGATCAAATTGTAGTAAAAAATGAATAATGTGATGATGGAAATGATATTCCATATGATGGTTGTTATGAATGCTAATTTTAATGTTAAGTTGAATGTACAGATTGTAAATTTGGAATATGTTATGAATGTGGATTGTAAGGTTGGCATTTAATTAATAATCGTTGTAATTCAATTTGTGGTGATAGATTTGTTGTTCAAGATTTAGAATAATGTGATGATGGTAATTTGATATAGTATGATGGTTGTTATGAATGTAAATTTTAATGTTAAGAAGTGTGTACACTTTGTAAACAAGGTATATGTTATGAATGTGATGTATTTGGTTGGATATTAGATAATCATATTTGTAAACCATTTTGTGGGGATGGAATCATAATTGATCATGAATAATGTGATGATATGAATGATAATTAAAACGATGGGTGTCATAATTGTTTATTTTTATGCGATTAATATTGTATAGATTGTTATTAAGGATAAATCTGTTAAAAATGTGAAATAGGAAGATAACTTTATTATAATGCTTGTATAGCTTAATGTGGGGATGGTTATTATGTTAAATCAGTAGAGGATTGTGATGATGGGAATCATGTAAATGGAGATGGATGTAATATATATTGCTAAATTGAAACTGATTATTAATGTTAAAATAAAGAAGGTAGTTATTCTTTATGTGTTTACTAAAAATTGCCATAATTTGAGATTAAATTACTCCCAATTTAAGTTACAGATATTTAAGATATATAAGTAAAATTTGATTAAAAAATGAAGTATTTAGGTAATTCTGAAGAATAATTATATACTTTAATTAATTCAACTCTTTTAGATATGTAAGATTCTGATTATAAGATAATACAATAATTGTAAAATAATGAATAAGAATCTGAAATAACAATTAAATTTAAAGTTTATATATATGTTCCTATTGATAGACCAATTTTGAAAATATAATTTTTAAATGAATCATTTGTTTCTCAATAAAATCTGCCACTTTTATAATCAATGAAAATTATTCCATTACTTACACCTACAATATTAAGTTAAACTTAAGTAACTGTAGCTTAAAATACTGCTACTTTTAATGAAGCAGTCATATATTTTTAAATCAGTTTATCTTCACTTTGTTTAATGACTGGTTCTTCTGAACTATTTTGGAATTTGATGGATCAATTATAGTATTTATCGTATATTAAATATATTAATATTCGATTTCCTCCAAATCTTAATATTTATTTTGATGTTTTTAAAATGATTACAATCAATCCCTTAATATAAGCATTTGGAATAGATAAATTGTTAAATCTTATTTAATAAGGAGAAAATAAAGAAATTTCAAATAATGATAAATTTTTTAATGATGATATTAGTGTTAATTTTCTAGACAACTTTAATAGTTTTTTATTTTGTTCGATATCTGCATATACAAGTTATTTGTTTGTTAAATATTCACATATATACTTATATCGAATAAATCCATAAACTATTAAGAAAATGAACCTTACTGTTGCTAAAATTTATATATTTATGAGAAAAAAGTTTATGCAATAATCTAAATAATTCTATTACAATGTTGTCTTAAGAATTTTCATGTCTAGTGCATATGATATTGCTTTTGCAATGACCATTTAGCTTGCTTATTTTTAAAGTAATAATTTAAGTTAATTAATAACTTCATATGCTTCTTTAATAGTTTTTTCTTCTTATTTAGGTATATCAATCTACATATTTAATTTACTGTAAAAATTTTCTAATTCAAATACATTAAAGATTAAATAATAATATGAAGCTTTATTTGAAGGAACATAGAATACTTAGTATGTTTGGATTGTATAATATAATAGTATTTTATTATTAAAAAAGTTTATTTTCATATGCATAATTGTTTTTATGTAAACAGAAGGTAAACTTCAAACAATGATCATAGCTTCAAATTAGACTTTATTTCTTTTATATTTCATCTCAAATAAACCTTTAAAGAATATTTATGAATATTACAAAATGATAATAACAGAGTCAATTATTATTTTTAACACAATTTCATTTTTTTTTTATGATTATTTGAAGGATATTGGATTACATCAAAATTTTAGTATAACTTTAGGCTGGGTTCATATATTCACTTTTTCAGCTATCCTATCATTCTCTTTGATCATCGATGTGTTTTTATAGTCATAAGTCTTACTGTAAAAATTGAAAAAATTTTTCTGTGATAATAAGAAAAAAGAGACATCTGGAACATCATAAACAATATTTATTTGATATTAAATAAATTATACATTATTTTAAAATTTGTTAAATATTTCTCTAAAAATGATGCTTTTCTATACTTGATATAGAAAAAATCATCAGTTTAATCTTTAACTAGGTGATGATTTAATTTAAATATTAAGAAGAACATTTTTTTTAAATTCCATCAAAAAACTTAATTTCTGTACAAAACTTTAAAACTTGAATGTAAAACATCCACTAATACAAAAAGGCAATTTTTTAATTTAATTTATGAAATTAAGGAGATAAAGAATAGAATAAACTCATTAGTATACTTTCAATATTAATATTATAAAATATTTTAGTTGAGAGCTAAAGTAGTATAAATTAAGATTGGTTGATATGATAATTGTTAAAATATGAAAGGATCATAATTCAATTGACTTACATAATACAAAATCACAATTTAAAGTTAGCCAGAATAGGAGAAGCAAATAGAAAAAAGAACAAGATATTGAATTCTTAATTTAAATATAAACATTTATAAGGGTCAAGCAATTTGCTGTTAAAGAATTTTGTGAATATTGGCTATAAATAAATAATTGTAAAAATAAAATTGGAGTTTTGATCAATTGGTATATATGAATTGAATGAAAATGATAATTATAATTTAGTAAATAATAATAAAGACTATTTTTGTACAAAAGTATATAGAAATAAAGTATCATATGTAACTATTCTTTCTAATCGATTTTTGATTTAAAAAGACTCATTTTTATGTATTTGCTAAGATCACGAAGTTATAAAGCTTAGCTTTTTAAATCTAAGTTTATTTAATGCGCATCACTTAATTCAAATAAGATTCTGGTTTTGAGAATGTACAAATAAAATTAATTTTTATTTTGGAATCAAATTATATACATATCAATTTATATCGTAACAAATAAAAATTATCTTTTATTTGTAGTGTTGTAATTAGTATTCTAGAAAAATATATTTCAATCAATATTTCATAACCATTTAATGTTTCCATGCTAAATAAGGTGAAATAATATAATATCCCTTTTGATTGAATAATTATATATTTAAATACTGCGAGAGATCTGTAAAACTCCTTTATATTTAGCGAACAATATAATTAAAATATTGCAGAGATAATCTTGAGTTAATGTGATTTTAAAGCAGATACAGATTTATAACTTATAGTTTAAAAAAGTAATGTATCAATATTTAAAAATGGTGTAAACTCTGGTATAATTATTGATACTTGAATTCAATAATGAATTTTTGTATAACTATTTTTCAGACAAATATTTTTGTTATTGGTAATTAATATCTTCTGAAAGGAAAAAATACCATTAGACTACTTATCTCCTATGAGTATGAATTACTTATTGATTATATATTCAAGGTAGTCTTTAGATCTTGTATATAAAGGAAATTATTTTTTTACAATATTTATAAAGAAAAAAGTATAACTTAAAAAGATAGCTTACTAGGTTGAAGAAAGCATTATATTTACCCTCATACAATTCTAAAATACTTATAATAATTTTTAATTAATTTATATAATTTTTATTTTTTATTAATGTAGGAGGAAGAATTGTATGAAATATTAGCCTAATCAAAAGATATTGATAAAAATATATATTGTGTGATACTAGAAAGATTGAAAATATAGAAAATTTCAGATTGTATAGAATTCCTTGAAAAAGATGAGAATTAATTTAATTATGAATTATATAATGTTTTGGTTCCTAATTTAGAACATTTTGATAAACAATAGTAGTTAAATGCATTAGAAAATAACATAAAGAAACTTATTAACATTATCAAAAATATCATTAAACATGACTTTAATAAAAATAATTATTCCAAAAAAATCTACACTAACATACGAGAGATTCTTATTCAAAAAATATCAGAAGAAAAAGGAGTAGCTGAATTTTTAAAATTTCTAGTTCGCCTTACAGCTTTTGATGATAAATTCATATAATGTGGATCAAATTCGCTTAATTTATTAGCTAATATGAATGTTGATTTGAGGAAATAATGTTTTGAAAATATTAAAATTCAAAATACTTCTTTGATTGGAGCCAATTTTTTTAAATCTGATTTTAGAGGATCAAAATTTGAAAATGTTGATATAAGTGGAATTAATCTAAATAAGGCTTAACTCTTCGATTGTAAATGGAATAATTTAAAAACACATGAGCTATCCAAATTAGATGGTCATAAAGGTTGTATCTTTAATGTATGCTTCTCACCTGATGGAAATATATTAGCATCTTGTGGTTTTGATAGATCAATCTGTTTGTGGAATGTTAAGAAAGGAAAAAAAATATCTCAATTAAACGGTCATAATATTATTACAAGAATTTGTTTCTCACATAATTGCACTATATTAGCATCCTGTGGTGGCTAAGATAAAACTATCTGTTTATGGAATGTTAAGACAGGGAGAAAATTATTTAAATTAAAAGGTCATAATGGTTGTGTTTAATCAATAAATTTCTCTCCTGATGATACTACATTAGCATCTAGTAGTTTTGATTAATGTATCTGTTTATGGGATATTAAGTTAAGAAAACTAAAATATAAATTTCTAGGTCGTAATGGAACTATATATTCAGTATGTTTTTCCCCTGATGGAACTACATTAGCATATGGTAGCGTAGATAAGTCTATTCGTATATGGGATGCTAATTTAGAAGAATAAAAATTTAAATTAGAAGGCCATTCTAATATTGTACATTCAGTATGTTTCTCTCCTGATGGAACTACTATAGCATCGGGCAGTTTTGATTGGTCAATTCGTATATGGAATATTAAAACAGGACAGTAAATTTTTAAATTAGATGGACATATTGATTGGGTCAATTAAGTATGTTTTTCACCTGATGGTAATACATTAGCATCTTGTAGTAAGGATAATTCTATTCGTATTTGGGATGTTAAAACAGGACTACTAAAATCTAAATTAGATGGTCATACTGACTGGGTTAATTCAGTAAGTTTTTCATCTGATGGTGCAGTATTAGCATCTGGAAGTGGAGATAAATCTATTCGATTATGGGATGTTAAGACAGGACTTCAAAAATCTAATTTAGATAGTCATAAAAAGTGGGTTAGTTCAGTGTGTTTCAAACCGGATGGTACTACTTTAGCGTCTGGTAGTAGAGATAACTCTATCCGTTTATGGAATATAAAGACTGGATAACAAACATTTAAATTAGATGGCCATACTGATTGGGTTAATTCAGTAAGTTTTTCGCCTGATGGTACAGCATTAGCATCTGGAAGTGGAGATAAATCTATTCGATTATGGGATGCTTAGACAGGACATCAAAACTTTATATTAAAAGGTCATCATAAAGAGGTTTTAATAGTATGTTTCTCATCCGATAGTAATGCATTAGCATCTGGTGGTTGCGATAACTCAATCAGTTTATGGAATATAAAGACTGGATAACAAAAATCTAAGTTAGATGGTCATACTGACTGGGTTAGTTCTTTATGTTTTTCACCTGATGGTGATACATTAGCATCAGGTAGTAAAGATAACTCTATCCGTTTATGGGATGTGAAAAAAGGATTACAAACATATATTTTAAATGGTCATGTTTATTAGGTGAATTCTGTTTGCTTTTCTTCGGATGGTAGTATTTTGGCTTCTGGTAGTGGAGATAACTACATCCATTTATGGGATGTTAAGATAGGAACAACATTATTTAAATTAAAGGGTCATAATCATTAAGTCCAATCAGTATGCTTCTCGCCTGATGGCACTGTCTTAGCATCTAGTAGTTCAGATAACACCATCCGTTTATGGGATGTTAAAACAGGACAACAAAAATCTAAATTAGATGGTCATTTTAATCGGGTTAATTCAGTATAATTCTCACCTGATGGTGCTATATTAGCATCTTGCAGTGCAGATTAATCAATCCGTTTATGGAAGGTTAAAATAGGAAGCAGAATATCTAAGTCCATCTGTTAAGGGGATGTTAAATTAGAAAAGCAAATTGAATTTTCTGATAAGATTTAATCAGATATTCATACAAACTCTTTAAGACCCTATCAAAATAAATCCTTTTTAGACTAAGACTGTAAAGATTTCTTTTATTTTAATAGTTGATTCAATAGTCACAATTCTACTCATCTCTTAATACCCGACTTTATAAGTCAAAGGAGCGAAAATCTAAAATAGTGAATTTATAACCCATTAAGGTATCGATTTACAATAGTTATTGAAATAAAAGGGTAGTTTTTTTTTAGAAAGCTAATTAAAAATTCAATAAGACGCCGTTAAGTATTGAATATTTTATGAAATTTTCATATCTATATATAATAAAAAAATTTCAAGACTTTTTATTGGTTACATTGAAGAAATATGTAAGGTATAATAAAGTGTCGAGTATTTTAAACAAGATATTATGTATTTTCTTAAGTACTTTACTTTATCATTTTAAACACAGTATCAAAGAGAGAGTGATAATATAATATTAATAAAATAAATAAGTAATCTTTAATATTGATCTTTTCGATTCACTGCTAAAGTTCACCTCAATTGATTTCATAAATGTTGATTTTTGTTGAAAATATATTACTTTTTTTTCTAAACATTATAATAATGTTCCTAAAGTCTATCTTTTGATTAGTCTGGCTATTTTATAGAATGGCTAAAATTTTTTCAATTACATAATTATTCATTTAAAAGAAAGAAGGAACTAATTAGATTCAAAAGAGTTTGTGGTTAATATTTAATATCTTTTAAGATCACAAGTAGCTATAAGAATTTTTATGTATGTCATGGTCATTCTTATAATTAAGTCTAGGGGAAATGGCCCTAACTTTTAATACAACATGAATATAATTTGTTTTTTAATCACAGTCCTCAAATTCATTTGAAACCTCCTTTACACATTATACGATTTTTTCTTATTGTCTTTGTTTTCTCCCTGTTATTTTTCTCATAAAACTTTTCAAACTTTTCTTTATTAAATTTAAATAGATATTTATTAAGATTAGTATTATCTCCTTAAATATCA